AATTAAAAGTATGGAACTCCCAGTAAACATTGTACTAAATGATTGTAAAGAAAAGTCATTGAGTGATAAATAACAAGAACTATTGTGTTTTAATACCTCTCTAGTTACATCTTTCCATATTTATTCTCTCTAGTTTAATCTGAGAAATAAATATCATACAAACGAATTTCATTGATTAGAAATTTATAAGGTTTATTGGTACAGTGAAAATAATTATCAAAGTCTCAAAAAATAAACTTTTGACTTCATCTAACGCATTGTTATGTAGACGGGAATATATTTATGAAATTGGGTATAATATTATCAACAAAAGATTATAGTTTGTACCATTATTTTATCAACTATTGAAGCAACAGAAGATAGAGGATTTCTAATAATTATTTCTTCCTAGTCAATGACTTTCCGACGTTACAATAACAACAAATTACACCAGCTTTATAATCTTTATATCTATAGGCTAGAACCTTACTTGTTAACTAACTGGTAAGAATTCAGCATACATATAAAGGTCCTTAGTTTAATACAAGTGCTGAATGTGCCAAATCATCATAACACCACTATTATATATATATATATATATATATATATATATATATATATATATATATACATATGTGAAAAAAATGTTTCATGATTCGAGTGATTTACTGTTACATTCGGAGAGTGAACTTAGGACTGTAGTTACATAATATCTCTCTAGTAGATATATTTCGAAAAACATTTGAGATCTTATAACAAAATCACTAAATAAAATGCATTTCATTTGTAGCTTATCGATCATTTGAATATATGTAGAAACTGAAAGTATATACGAATTTAGATCTAAATCAACAGACTCAAACGTAAATTTCCTACAAATGAGGCGAAATTTCACGATTTGTGAAACTGGTTAGGTATTCAGATAGTTTTCGTTATTATTAGAAGTTTATATTTTCCAATGGGTGAAGAACAAAACAAGACTGTTTTTGTTGACACTTCTACATTAAATGATAATAAAGAAAAGCCCATATATCAGGTACGTCAGTATGAGCCAAGCCCCAGGTTTTAGGGCTAATGGTACTACTCGGCTGCCTAGACAGAAGAGGAATGAGGTTCGGATCTGGAACCTAATGATTGAAAGCCAAACGCTTTAGCTACTAAGCCTACAGAACCTATAACAATCTTATCTTATAAGCAGTAACTTGATAAAAGTTCTGCATGAAGTAATTTCGCGTTGTCGAGTGAATGAATCTGTAAAGATAACATATATGTAGATTAGATTTACTGTCTGTAAAGGCAATTCCTCGATCTCATTCTGAAGTAAATTTGATGCTGGGTGACTTACTGTTTAGTTTCTCTAAAAATGAGTGATGTATGTAACACCTTAATACCACAAACGTATCATCAATGTACCTTAGCCAAACGTTTGGTCTAAATATGCATTAGAAAGACATTTCCGTTAATTGTATTTATGAATAGATTTGCAGCCATAGGTGATGCAGGTGAGCTTATTGCTACTCCACTGGTTTGTTGATAATAAATAGCGATGGGCTTACCTTCATCACCTATAGTTGCGTATCCATTCATAAACAGGCTTAAAGAAAATGCCTCACTAGAACAACCGACCTCAAGTGTATTAAAGACGTTCAGATAATAAAAGTAACCGATAAATTCATAAAGGTTGGGTGTGCGCATCTTTGTGGAATTGAAACGAAATAGAAATTAAAGTGAATTTATTATTTTAAAAAAATAGTATGTGAAGTCATGACCTTGAATTATGATATTATCCATTCTACTAAAGTCACAAACTGACCGAAAAACTAGCATTTTCATTACAAGTATCCTTAATTCCCATAATATTTTGACATGCTGTATTAAGCAAATGTCAGAAATGGTATTATTTGATCACCAGATTTGTGTGTAATAAACAGAAATCAAACTGTAACTATGGTTAACATAGATCTTATAATACAAGGAAGTCCAAAATCCAATTACACCAATAAAGCAACCACTAAGGAACTATTTGATATTTATTTGCCAGTATGAAACCTAATGCACTGTACTTAAAAAAAGATTTATCTACTACTTTGTAGAACGTAGTTTACATCGACCAGTTTATGACAATAATTTATATGCGCTTTCATTAGTTATTTTGGTTCGTAAACAATGTAGAAAAATTACGAAACATACCTGATCAAATGTATATTCAGCAGAAAGTTATGGTATACAAAGTTTAGTAAATAAATCATCCATACAAAAACATACTTCTAGTAAGTACATAGAAACACGAATAAATTACCCTAACTTATTAATCTTTAGGCAACGGTCCCGGTTACAAATATGCTCTCGTGTACATAGAGGATGCAGTAACCAATAGAAGCCAACAAAACTGCTTATTTATGTACTACAAGTTTAAATAAAAATTGTAGACAGATATAAGTCACTTAATCAAACTTATTCACTGCGTCATCTCACATGCCGAGTGGGACGTAACAAAATATTCATGTCTCAACAGGAGGTCATAAATTTGGAGAGAAAACTGTCATCTAGTGTCTGTAAATTGCATGTCTTTACAACCAGTGTCACAATTCATCACACAAAACAGCTACTTTTAATTTATTTGTGACCATGTTTTGTAGCTTTCTAAGCTCTTCGTAATAATTTGCGCAGAACGTCCTAAGAATTATTAACACAATACCATTCCAAATAAAAAATTGAACATTAAGTAGCCCTGGAGTTAGCTATGGTACGTATATGACCGGGATGTAAAGACTCTGCTTACGTCTACTAACCGAGTCTTCACATACCATCAAATCCATAGATACAAGTTAGTTTCTATGGCTTTCAGTACGCCATACTAATTCTAATGAGGGAGTACATAGGCGATTGACTCCAAAACAACTCGAGATTTAGTTCACGAAACATCTTTGAGTAGAACTACTCATTACTACAGATCTATATGACATTCATGTCTTAAATCTTCCTCAGCTGAAATCTCACAGCTCGTTTGAAACCTAGGCTTTCTACAAATAACAACCTCTAAGTTCTTTGTTTATTAGACCTATCAAGGGAAACTTTTCGAATTAGTATAATTTACCAGTCATACAGCAAATAAAGGAGCTGATTTTGATTTAGTCTCAAGCACATGGGTTAACACATCTCCATCAATAATAGCGATGAAATCTTGACTGGATGAGCTAATTAATGATCATTCTTTTGACAGTACGAATATTCTAAGCTCAACTAAGAGCTATATGGATAATCTTATCATTTGTATAACAATACACACAATGTGTTAACTAAACACTATTTCTACTTTATATTTCACAAATGGGTTTAAGATAGCTAACCGTCAATAATAATTCACAAGAGACCATCTAGCTTGAGCTCAATCATAAACATTTCAACGGGTTCCCTTTCTGTGTAATTAATTCCAATTCTCCAACCCAACTAGAAAATATGAATCTATGTATATTTGAATTCCTATGTTCCATCAAGTTTTAAATCACTATTTATCCACACTGGGCTAAGAAACCAGTTAAAAAATTGATCAGCGTGAAGAAAGATCCACGATTTGTGGCCAAATCCGGAGATATGATTAAAAATTAATTGTATTCATCCTCCATCTATGTCTTAAACTTGTATAACTTTTTTAAATGTCACCTCTTGACTTTACACTATTTCAGTTAACCCCATCTCGGGAGTTCCTAATAATCCTGCTCTTATTCTCGACCCCAAGAATCTTCTTTTATGACCAACTGGAAGCCTATTTTACATTGCACTAATTATTTAAAGGTGCTAAAAAGAGGCTAATAATCGGCCAGTCCATAAATAAACTGCACTTTGTAGAGAAAATCCCCAAAATGATAGGAACAAGTTTCTAACTCAGACCATCTAACCTTGAATCACTTGTATGTAGTCGAAATCCATCATTTCTCCAAACAGCTAGACCTCATGATTAAAACATTAAGACAGTGAATACCCGAGATTTTTATGCAGTTCCGTTAAAAATACTCTAGTAATCACTAATCATGTTGGTTTAAAAATGTGATGTGAAATTACTTTACATGTCGTTAATGATGCTACTGGAAAGCATGACTGAAGTGTAAAAAAACGTGCATTTCTTTGCTTGAACTTTACTCGATAATAATTTTTACGTCATTTGCGTACATGCAACAGAGACTTATAGACGAACTAAAGGACAGAAAACACTTCTGAATGTTTAAAGCCAATCGGTTCACAGAACACAACAATCAAGCATGTAACTAACTGTTAAAAAGCCGAAGATGCAACGAATATATAAAAGTTCATTGAAGAAGTTGTCTCCTTAATTAGGACGGAACTAGAACCATAAGTCAGTAACATGTTTGCGTTAGGTTCAAAAACATACTACCCTGCAGTTACATTTAACCATTCGAAACAATCTTAGAGCAATAAACGCGAGTCAGCGTTTTTGATTGTATAACTCAGGATCGTTTGCGATAGCACAGGTGCACTCACTGTCTTTCTTTAGTACATGAATCCTGATGCCGGATACCTTTTTTTTCTACGACTAATCCTTCCTACAACTACTGATATTGCGCCTACGTCTACCACTCTGGGATTTGTTTTGATAATCTTGTGCATGTGCCATCAGAGTGTGTCAACTTGAGATTACGCAAGTGTCAAGCCCTACGTTGTATATGACTGACTTTAACACTACCCCACGACTATATCCTCTTAACTCGTTTGCAATAAAACCGTCACTTGAAGGTTAAAAAACTAACAGTAACAAGGAGAACCCACTGTTTCCGCACTTCGACAAAATATGTGACTACTGTATTTATCTATACTAGTTCATATAGGCCATTAAGATATGTTATTCCATGATCAGCCTACGATCCCGCAAAAACATCTCTGCAGATGCGCATTGACGGGCAACTTTGATGCACGAAGCTAGGAGTTCGGACTAACTAATGTATGAGAGCTGCTATACGAATTATTCACTATGACAAGAATACTATCACTGATCAGTTTGGTTACCGCGATTCATCTAAAAAATCTAAAGGTGAAAATATGAGTACAATATATTGCACTGGATACTTCAATGCATAAATTTTTAAAACAAATATTAACAAAATGCACGTAGAGGAAAATAAGATGCGTATAACAATGTTACATAATATTCTTAGTGTACACTACTTAAAAAATGAAACAACTACACCAGTCTTTAAGGGCATTGTAACAATCTCCGGACTGTTTTGAATTAGCACCACATGTTTGTGAAAGCCATTCCTTGAATAACTCTTCTTCGCACCTCAAAAGAAGAAACTGTCCCAAGACGACATACGCTTTGTCATACCCTTTAGCTTTGAGTCTTTCTCCAAGTTTTTCACCGATGCCTGGTAACTCTTCTACAACCTTTTCAGAAATGGGTTCTGAAACAAAACTGCGATGTTTTTGGGATGTTGTCATTGATAAGTTATTAAAATTCGCAGCTGCTTGTCGATTCAACGTTTCAATATTCACGCCTTTGCTAAGCTTGAAGTGAGATATTTCACTTATGTACTAAGTTCCAATTTTTTAACATACCATAACTTCAAGACTTTAAGGAATTAACGATTCTCGGCAGCTTCTAATATTCTCTTTCTTCGACTTTACGTAAACTAATTTAATTTTTCCGTGCTCTCAAATGCTCAAAGTATAGTTAATGGATTTAGTTGCAGCTTCTTTTCAGTGGTTCTGAGAGTCTTTAAAATCAGGCCTTCATGTATAAGGTAGATGCTTTGGTGATTTATCAGAACAGACTGGGGTGAATTTATCTGCAACGCAACCATGTAATCTTAATGTATCGCCCAGTGTAATAACGGTCATCTATGCGTTCAAGTAACCACAGATTTTGTCATTTCATAATGTATTTTTTAATAAATGAAGATTGTGTTGTTAACTTTGCTCTGGTTTTAATTTTTATTCGCCACGTCTGACTGCGTTACACTGTACGTTCATTGCACGCTGGAATGTTATCTCAAGTCATAGTTAGTTTAATCACATGGTTTATTGTTTCCAGATAGACCGTCAGTGCATGATGTTACTCAAAAAATGTTTGTTGTACTATAGACTATGTTTTTATGAGCAACTGATTGTTGTCTTCAGTCTCAAAGCAATATATATGTATCTTTCGTCTTATGTTAGGTAAGTTCAAATGGCCTATATTTCGTGTTTTGGTTTTATCGGCTGAATTATGTTCATTCTACTCCGTTTAGCAACATGTCTGTGCAAATCGAATAATAATTATGACACTTGCTTAGTTTAGTATTGTAGACCACCAACGTAGATGATCTGTGTCGAAAAGATTGGAGGCCTACTCGAGTTAGACGTGAATGGTGTGACAAACTAGCTAACGTCGAAGTCACACCTCGTGGTCAGTACCTTACGTGGACTACCCCCATTGACGTATCAAGGTACTATAGATGCTTTGAAGACTGTACAACACAAAGGACGTTATTACAGAAATATATTAGTTAAAGTAGATACAAGCGAAAGCAAGACCACTGCCGCATGGGCCAGTCCATGGCATACGATTAACTAATGCGCGTTGTTTGTACGTGACCTTGGCAGGGAGCGATGATCTGTCCGACATTCAGTGATCCAACTGCCGGATGATTAGGCTGGGGCTCAGTGACACTTCACTGGCCCTACAGCATTGTTGGTTGCTGTTATAATTTAGATTAGTCGATAGGCTTATAGTATAATTAAGTATAGTGCTTAAAGCCTGTAACGAAACGGATCAGTTCAGTAAGTAGAGCTGCCTGTTTTAGTGAGTATACTGATTCAAATCAGTCTGATTAAAAATAGAGAAAAAAACGTGCCTTTGATGCTGTTGCTGTCATGTATTATAAGATAGCTTTAAGTACGTTTGATGTTTATTTGTAGACAGTACGTCTAACACTGTTCAAGTTTAAAGACCACTGTCATTAAACAATTTCCCCAGCAATAACATCGGTAGCAGGATAGCTAAGTGTCTGAGCTTTTATTTGCCTGCAGAAGAGCAGCATACAGTCTTAGAAGATGAGTGTTCTGTGTCTCAATTAAATGCAGCTGGCTGTGGACAAATTTTAAGAATCTTTTTGACAACTGGGATTTTTAGTTTATCAGACACTAACTCTGCTTGTATGTCTTCCTGTTAAAGTAGATGCAGATGCATGGGAATACCTAAATGAGAGCAAAATAATAAGAGCATTGCGATACGGTACCAAGTCCTTGTTATGCTTTGCACAAGTAATAGTAGCTGACCTGATATAATATTCATGAACTCAAAGCAAATCACAACTGCATAAACTCTTTGCTAAAAATCATGTAATTTGGTTATTTATCCATTCCACATTTCTGACTAAATTCATTACTATTTTCTCATTTAGAATGCACCGGGAGCGAGCCTATACAGATCCTAAGCACTGTTCCGCCCTTAGAACTACGGCCGTATGAAACAGCAGGTTATAAAAAGGATGCTGGACGTCCATTTTAGTCTCACAACCACTTCCGCTACTTTTTGAGTTACTTCTTTTACCCTTTCGTTTGGAAAAAAACAACAAAGACTGCAGCTTAATATTACCAGTGCAACTTTTAAACGGGGACTTCGTTCAAACTTTTGTTTGATGTTCTATTTCACAGGTTGAAATCATAAGTCAGTTGAAGCTAGACCACCATTGAAAACCTGGAAGCACCGGACGGCCGTTTCGTCCTGGTATGGGACGCCTCAGCAGTGCGCATCCACGATCCCGCACCACGCAGGACTCGAATCCAGGACCTACTGGCTTCGCGCATGAGCACTTACCCACTAGACCGCTGAGCCGGCTCAGTTTTCAATGGTGGTCTAGCTTCAACTGACTCATGATTTCAACCTGTGAAATTTCTAAAAAAACTCTCCACAAAACCCATTCTGATAATAATCAACTGCTCACTAGTGACTGACCAGGAAAAACTCCTGGAGTTCTAGTGAGAAGCCGTTACCAGTGGAGTTCAACCCGTCTGTTGTGAGATAACAACCCATTCTGATGATATTCTATTCTAATGCTACTTTGTTTTATCTACTTAATCGTTGTAAGAAACTTGTGATATACGAGCCTCCTAGCATCTAGTTCATATGTAGTAAATTTAATTCATTTAGTACATATCTTCGTCATTTTCTTGGGAAACCTACAGACTCGGTTCCTCTCATAACTTATTCGAACTACCATGAGTTATCACGGCAGCTGATGGATGGACGCGCGTTACACATCCTAACCGTACCTGCGTCTAATCTTATAGATCCTTATTCAGATGCCATGTGATAAGCAAGCAATGCCCCTACCCGCACTAATGGAACACCAGTAACCTAAAGGCACCCTGTATGGTACCTTACATTGGTCTACACACTCGGTTAGCTCTTTAGTGAGAATATTACTAGTCCTGCCAAAAATTCCATGAACCCCCCTATCTCCATCAAAACAAATAAGTCTGTATTTGCTGCATATAGCAATTTTACTTTCAAGAACTAAGATACAACAGTTAGAATTGGAGTAAGATGGCAGTATACAGCAAATGCACGTGGTACATGTCTTCATCGATTAACTGAAATAGAGAATATGGATATTAGCTTAACAGGTTTATTTAGAAAGACTAGTGTCTACTTTGAACTTACTGCGTGAGAAAGTTATACTGGAACTACGAACAATGTAAGAATCTAGTCTCCCAGGGTGTACGAAACACTCAAACTGGAAGACAGCTGTCCAGAAATAATTCGAATATGAAGGTGAAAACTTTCAGGCACTTTTCATCGTAAGGGTGAACATATTAGGTACCGGTTGACATCATACCGTAAAAAAAAACAAAACTTTGCGGGTGGTGAAATGTGATCTATAAAAAAGTGAGCTTAATAACAGTTAATAACCTTTTTACTCCCTGATAATGACCCTTCGGCATCCTTTTATGGCCAAAACAGAAAACATACACTACACACTGATAGCAGATTTCCGGTTTCTTAAGAACAAGTATATACGCTTGTCACATCAGTTCAATTCGAAATTCCAAATATCGGAATATTCTAACTATCATTAAAGCGGTAAACAAATCATCAAAACGAATAGTTCTGTAAGTCTGCGACACTTGATGCTGACCTCATTAGTTTTACTGAACACACGTAGCGGAAGACGTTCCGTCACTCATCTGTACCAGATCACCAGTTGTTACGCCGTGTTACACATCCCTTTCAACTGCTAGTCAACTTGAACTTGATGATGTCACAGGTATTCAGTGTTTGACAACTCTTCTACCAGTAACACCTTCTAATATATTTCGTTCCCACCCAGAGAAATCAAAAGACAGAGTCGAGGAGATCGGAAGAGTATATTTGGCGATGACCAATATATCGGAATTCTCTGATCTAATCTGGCTGGCGATTGCGGTAGATGTTGAGCATGGCGTTACCACACGTGATCTGGTGCGGATGCCTGACCGAGCGCCTTCAGCTAGATGAGTCCACTAAAACATATGGTCAGCATCCAATGTCGAAAACTTACAGTGCTATTTATTTTGGGGATTTATTTACCGCTACAGATCACTCCCCCACCTAGTGGGGCAGTGACGACCCTAAGACGTGGCCAGCCATAAGTTTAAACCCAACGTGTTTGTCGTTGGTAAACACTCTTCTGATAGCTTACTAAATTTAGCAGCGTCTGGTCGTCTTTCCTTACTATATGGGACGGAGGTACAACGTAGTAAAAAAAGAAAATGTACAATGAAAATTTCGGATCCTCATAAACGTCATCGTTCTTTTCCAGCCGTCCTGGAAAAGAAAAAAGAAAATGTAAGTGCATGTCGAAATACACTCGTATGTGCGTAAAAACACAATGTCGGCGGAAAAATGGAAAATAAACTCATGAACACGTAATAGCGTTAAAAAAATTGTTTTGTTTTTTTTAAATAGAAATAAAAATATATAAGCATATTAAAATTGTTTTTTAAAAAAAAATAATATAAAATGTCGAGAAGTGCCTTACGTGCAATAGTCGTTTAAATGTTCTGGAAATCTTACCCTTCTTCCAGAACGCGTCGTTTTAAGTTTATTTTCGGATACTGTCGAAGTATCATCGTGTGTGTTGGTTGTCGGATGAGGTATTATAAGTGTCGGAGTCGTGTCGTTCGATTGTACCGAAGGAAAATCCACGTAGATAGGATTTCCTTCTAAATACGCTGCTTTTAAGCGATCGATACTGATGCTATCGTTGGTTCCGTTTTTATCGACTATATAGTACTTAGAGTCACGTTGAAGAACTTTGAAGGGTCCTTCGTATGCTGATTCGAATGGTCGTCGATGCGAGTCTCGACGAACGAAAACGTGTGTACTATATCGTAAGTCAGGTTGAACGAAAACATCAGTTGATTGAGGTCGAGTGGAAGCAGGTTTAACTGAACGCATTGCGTTTGTAAGCCTGTTCGTGTAGGAGGTTAGATCCATGTTCATTGAAAAGGACGAAGGATCCACGAATTCTCCTGGAAGTCGAAGTGTCGTTCCATAAACGAGTTGAGCCGCAGTGTATCCAATGTCAGCTTTCACTGCATTGCGGATACCTAGTAAAACAATTGGAAGAGCGTCGGTCCACTGAGAAACGTTTGCAGCTGATAGTGAAGCTTTTAGTTGTCGGTGAAAGCGTTCTACCAACCCGTTTGCTTGTGGATGGTAGGCGGTCGTTCGGAAGCGATTGATTCCTAAAAGTGTGGTCAGACGACGGAAAAGATCAGATTCAAACTGACGTCCGCGGTCTGTAGTGATGGTTGAAGGGCAACCGAAGTCTGCTACTCATCGTTC